GTCTCCTCCCGTGCTCTGCCCACCCCATCTTACTGCTCATTCTATTCCTGGACTAAAAGAGAAACACAGCAGAAATGTTTGTTTTCTTTTAGACGTTGTGGCCAAATGTCTGGTTATGGGAGACGGGCAAGGGGGAAATCATGGCAGGCAGCCTGAGGGAGGAGAGGCAACTCACAGGTTTGCATTTTTCAGTAAAGGTGTCGCACAGATACACTTCACAGTGCAGGTAGACCAGGTCGTAGTTCCCGGCAAAACGGAACATCTGAACAGAAAATCGGCCCTGAGGGGACTCCCCGTTCTCCACCACCTGGATGGTTGAGTCCTTAGTGTGTGGACATCTGGGAGGGTTAAGTCATATAACGTGGTTGGTTAAGCAGCTACTCTGGAGCCAAACTTCCTGAGTTCAAATCTCACTCCACCACCTATTAGCTATGTGTCCTTGAGCAACTTAATCTCTCTGTGCCCCAATTTCCCCATCTATATACAGGAAATACTATTTGTAACCCATATCATAAGATAGCTGGGAAGATTAAATGAGTTAACTTTTCCAAGAGCGTACTACAGTATATGACACATAGTAGATGCTACATACCTTAATGCATATATATAACGCTGAAATAAAAATGTCATCAGCACAGGGTTGAAACTATGCTATAAAGTCAGCACCTCTGATTTCCCGGGAAATGACATTCAGGATCATTAGCTACCATTTGTTGGCTATCTCCTATGTGCCCGGTTCTGATGATAACAGTGGACACTTCTAAGTCCTGAGGGGCCGTGACCAAAAGGGAGTGAGTGTGTGTGTGTGTGCGTGTGCGTGCGTGCGCGGCGCCCATCTATAGACATACACAATTGTACCGAAACTCAAAATTGCACATGAAGAGACTCGTGTGTGTGCTGGGCTGGATCAGGGTACAAGGGCAGGCAAATTGGGCATTTTCTCCGCTATTTTACATAAGATTTGCTCAAAATTGATTTAGGAGAGGGGCGGAATGCTGACTGCACAGACGAAGAACTGGGAAGGGAACTCCCTGCTTTGTGCAAACAATTCAGATCGGCTTGTAAAAGTGCAGACTCCACCTGGCACAATAAAAGCTCTGAGGCTCAGGGGACCCACCCCCTGAAAGCCCCATGCACGCAACCTGAGCAGGGCATCCAAGTGTCCCCTCCAGCCCCTTGCTGTCTCCTCAGCCGGCTCTTCCTTACACATCCTGGGATGTTCGCCACCCCTCTTGGACTGGTGCTCCCCAACCCAGCTCCCACACATGCCCAGACAGAAGAACACAGGCACACTCAGCATTTCTTCCTGCTTCTTTTCCAAAACTTTCCAAGTGTCCCATGACATACATGCTCAATGTTTTTACTCAGGAAAAAAAAGTTTACAAATCCCTGCACAGTAGGTATTATTTATGCCCATTTCACATATGAGAACATGAATATTTGGAGAGATGAGATGAATTGTGTCTCCAGACTAAGAAATAGCAAAGCCAAGATGTGGACCCAAATCTCCATGATGCTCCAATCTCCATCAATGCCCTTTTCCAAATTTGCTTTTTTGGCCTTACCTAGAAACCACCTTCGTGTATGTTTTCCTGTGTTTCCCAGCATCTGTATTATTATAATTTACTTGCTATTTGCTTTAAATATACATATATTTTTATTGGAATACATCTATTTTTTAGAAGAATCTTTAGATCCTGACCACAAATAACAAACCAGCATCACTTGCCATAAGCACAACATGACCATTTACAGATAAATACAAAGTAAAACAGTGCTATTAAATCTTAGCTCCCATCAGAGCAGAAGGCCCTAAAAAGACTTCTTTCTGTTGCAAAGGGAATGAGCAATAACAGAGAGGTATAAGTGTCAGATGAGCACCCAACTGATACTCTTCCCTTGATGTAACCAGGCAGGTTCTAAGAACAGAAACAGGAATAGGTCAGTGCCTTTGGGGGATGCTTTTTCTGACTATGCTATTAAATAGCATATGCGCCTCCCCTTTCCCTGCTTTGGGTTTTTCCTATAGCCCCCTTACCACTGACATGCTACAGATTTCTCTTGTTTAATTATTGGTCCCCCCTCTTGGAATATCAGCTGTATGAGGGCAGAGAGTTTTGTCCCTTCTATTCACTGTGCTATGCACAGAGCCTGGCACACAGCAAGCTTCCAAAGACATCTATTCTGATTTGAATGACATGAATTACTTCCTCACAGTGTGGTCCACGGTTCTCCAGTGCCACCTGTGTCCCCCCTTTTACAACTGGTCCTTGGTTAACTGTGTCTCCAGCTCACTCCTCCCAGCCAAGTGCCATCTTGCTTCCTACCCTGGGTGAGTGCATCTTTCAATCAGGTTTCTTAACCTTTTCTTGAGTCCTGGACACCTCCAACCTTCTGGTGAAGCCCATGCCTCCCTCTTCAAAAATAATGTTTTAAGTGCATAAAGTACCTAAGATTATAAAGGAAACCAGTTCAACTGAAGTATAGTTCTTAAAATATTAGAGCATTTGATATATGCATTATATATTTACATATCTATTATATATAAACACATATTTGTAAGGATGTATATTTGATAACACATTAAATAATAATTTCTAGTAGAAACTCTAATACTCTAGTAACTAAAAAGTACTGACATGTGTAAATGTTTTCACGTGTCCTGCTAATACTGTGGTTTGTTGCCTATGTTCATAACGGATGGTGATGCTAAATTTCAGCTAGACATTGTGAATATAAAGATGTACTTGCCCCCAAATCCAAATCCAAAGGCTGCCCCCTCCTGCCCCAGAATTCCATCTACGGAACTTACCTGTTCTGGATGATGAAGTACTTCAGGGGATCTGTGGCATTGCCGCTGGGTGTAGCGTAGCAGTTGGTCATCAGCAGTGCAAACCGGGACAGGTCACCCCCATCCAGCATGGTGCCCACATAGAGAAAGGCCTCTGTGGCCAGGGTCACGGAGGAGCCTTCGTAGGGCTGTGTGTAGGCAGGGCTCTGGAAGAGTGCCATCCGCATGGTGAACATGCCTGTCCCTCCCACGCTGATGTTTAGGACGCTACAGGGGGAGAGGAGCTGGTGAGAAAACCAGAGCTGAGAACAGCAACAGATGGGCCACCCCTTCTGGTCTGCAGTCCCAGGCCATCCCTGGCAGTTCTCTGCGTGTTTATTTAGCAGGAGGACTGGAACCCACCAACCACTGCAATGGCTGCCAACTGTGATGAGCAGACATGGGTCACCTCAGGATCTTGTTGAAATGCAGGTTCTGGTTTGGTAGGTTCAGGTGGGGCTCAAGGTTCTGCATTTTTAACAAGCTCCCATGTGATGCTGCTGCTGCTGATCCACAGACCACATTTTTTGTAGCATGCCCATCCCCTTCACTTGGGGACTCTTGCCTTCAAGGAGTCCAATAAACAAATTCTCAAGGGAGTCACCTACATTCCTTCTTTGGTCTTAACCTGGAGCAGTTAAAAGGGATGGCTATGAGTCCTACAGGCCTAGGTCAGAGTTCTGGGTCCACCTACAGCAGAAGATAGGGGTTTTTTGTAAATGGGTTATTTTTCACCACATTGAAAATAGCTACACTGATGAGACTTCACAGAATGAGCCAATAAAGGACCCTGTAAGACTGATAACGCTAGGAAGTAAGGCACATGATAAAAACTCAGTAATGTAGAAGTCCATTTTGCAGGTGAGAACTGGGTTATTGGTTTGGACTCAGATTTGGACTAGGGCAAGATTTCCAGCTCAAACTGGAGAGACATCTCCATATAGATGTGTTGCTCCTTGACGTCTGTCAGGCCTGAGACACGGCCACAGTGCTCCAGGGCACTGCTTGGCCAGGTGGTTCTCCAGCCAAAGGCAGACAATGAGCAACCTTCTTCCCCCAGGTCAGCCATGCACCCTCATCAGTGCCGTGCCCTTCCCTGAGTCTGGTTGGCCCAAAGAACATGTAGCCGTGGATGAGCTTCATAATGAAGGTCATGGTAGAGTGGGGGCTCTGGGCACAATGCCCTAGGTTTGAATCCCAGCTCTGCCACTTACTAGACTCTAACTTTGGACAGGTTACTCAGTCTTCTCTGAGCCTCAATTTCCACATCTGTATAATGGGAACACTACTAATAATAGTAATATTTACAGCTCTTAAGGTACTCTTAAGATTTCAGTGAGAGGTTTCCTGTAGAGCAGTTAACACAATGCCTGACATACAGTCAGCTCTTGATAAGTGCTTGTTATAGTTACAACTGTAATTTTTTCCAACATCACATTTGCATCATTGGCCTGTGATTCGTCCTAGTCAGAGATTTCCAATTTTATTTAGCAACAGGATCCTTTTACTACTTTTTTTAATAATAAAATCTCGTGGGACACCCAATATGGGTGGAACGTCTCTGGTTCACCCTGTAGGCATCCCCAAACGTACTTCCTTAAAGACCCTCAAACTCTAAGAGGCATAATTTATAACCCCCCCTTTTTTTTTTATCAAATTCCTATTTATAGAGAAGGAAGGAAACTAAGGTCCAAATATGGCATGATTTATATATCATATAAATAGCAGGTCTGGACCAAGAGCCCTCCCTCCGACCAAGAGCCCTCCCTCCTTCCATCTGGTCCAACCACCCTGCCCCTCTGATAAGCCAGAGGCCCTAATATTTAATTCACACATGCCAAGCCCTGTTGTGCTTCTAAGAAAGGCAGTATGGGTACTGCTAAATCCATTTCACAGATGAGAGGACTGACACCCAGAGTGGGGCTGTCAATTTCCAGAGCCATCTTGTTAGTATGTGACAGAGCCTGGATTTGAATCTGGGCTCCTTCCTTCCAGACTGGGCTCCTCCATTGGAAAATACTGCCTCCCAGCTCCCCCACCCAGCAACATATGGATGGCAGTTAACAGGGAAGCTGAGGGCCTGGTGGTTAAGAGGTTGTCGGGGTAGAGATGGCCGGGGGTACTGGGGACCCTCTCTGGCCACACCTGACCATTGGCTGCATGGAGGTCTTCAAGCTTTCATGTCCAGGGGGTAGGAACACGCAAAGTTGATTTTGATGTTGCAGTCACGGATGATGATCTCATCTGCCCGGTAGAGGGTGTTGCTATATATGGCATGGGTTTCATTCCTCTGTATTGGGGGGTGGGAGCGGGAGAAAGGGGCATGAGAATCTGAGTAGGACTCAAAGTCAAAGGGGTTTCTATGGCCACCTGTGAGCTGCCCTCCCAGCTGTCATAATCAAAAGTTACAAGGACAGCAACCATTTATGAACTAGGCCCTGAGCTAAACACTGGTCCTGCATGACTGCATTAGCCTCTTCAATGACCCTAAGAGGCAGGGCTACTATCTCCCTGCCTCATGATGAGGAGATGGGGGTTCATAGAAGCTGAGTAACTCTTGAGTAACTTGCCCACAGTATGTGGGATCTAATAAGCCTGAGCTCTCCAAATTAGGCCACGCTTCCTCTCAAACACTAAAAACACTAAAAACCACCTCCAGACTCATTATTAATGCTGGAATTTCAAACGCTGTGCTAAGCAAATAACAATTTCTTTCTTCTTTTCTTTTGTCTTCTTTCCTTTTCTTTCTGGGGGATGAGGGAGTTGGAGAAGCAGTATTCCACTCAAATATTGACCTCTGGGTCCCTTTTGAGGAAGTTTCTGGAGGTGAGGTCCTGGTTCTCTGAACAGTGGTGATGCAGACCTTGCCTCTGAGGACCACCCAAGACAGGCAGACTTGCTTCTGAGCCCAGTGCTGATACCTCCTGGCTGAGAAGAATCACTGTCCTATCTGGGCCCTTCCGTTCCCATCTGTAAAATGGGGCACTGTCACCACGGATCATTCTCTTTATTTAAAGCTAACATTTATTGAGCACTTACACTGTGCCTGCCGGTGTCTCAATCACTTCACACACATTAACTCATTTAATCCTCTTAACAACCCTGTGAAGTAGGTACTAGTATCATTATTCCATTTTACAGTTGAGGAAACTGAGGCACAGCCAGGCTCATATGACTAGGAAGTGGTAAAGCTGGGGCTTGAACCAGGCAGTGCTCCCACCCTGTCCCATGTTGGCCAGGACATACCATCATCACTGTCCCACAGGGGCCACCCCTGGCTGGGGTCACCACAGATATCCAGTCCCAGTCGCCCCTCTAATGGAAGCCTGAGCACTGGCTGTCACGCAGGTACATGAAAACCTTCTCAAAGCCCAGGCTTTTCAGCTGGCACTTGCTCAGGGACACCTTGATGTCATTGGCTCCACACTCCAGCCTGCGCTCCAGGAGGGAGAGATCTGAAATGGGCAGGGAAGGCAGGATTGGAAACCTGGGACCACAATTCAGCATCAAGCACATCCCCAGGGCCCAGGCCCAGCTGGTCAGGCTGGCCACTCACTAGCTGGCGGTGCTCAGTTTAGCCCCGTCTCATCTTGCCATGGTCTCCTCTCTCAGAGGGACGGAGACGCAAGACTGGATTCCCAGCATCACTGGATGGATCCAAATGGCCAACCATCAGCTCCATGTTACCCTAAGTGTGGATTGTATGCAAAAAACAATATTATTTTCAGGTCATTCACTGCCCCCCCTGCCAGCATTAAATACATTGAATCTCAGTAAAACAAAACAACAAACACACTAACACATTAATCGCAGTATCTTTCCATCCTTTGTATATCAAAGAGATAGTCCACACTAGCTACTAATGTTTTTAATGCTATATACTTGCTAATTTCCCTTTTAAAACAACAGAGTGCAGACATCAGGCTAAGTGTTTGGGGCACACAGTGACATCCAGGTGGATTTTTTTTAAACTTTTTTAAATTGAAGTATTACACAGCTGCTGGAATTTAATAATTTTCTTTCATTGTATTTATTTTTACTGTTACCTTCTATCTACGGTAAGAGTTACTTGCCACAGATAGATGCAGCAGTGGCCGTAAGTGTCCCAAGTTTATTTAAAAGAAGAAGGATTCAACCAACTTAAAGAAGAACAAGTTAATAATAAAAACCACAGTCTAGGTAGTACTTGGATAAAACGAAATTATAAAATTGGTACTAAAATCATGACTGAAGTTTGGGAAATACTATCCTGCTTCAGTCATTGTACATATGGGGAAATTGAGGCTTGGAGACCCACAGAGCCCTGCTCGGGATCCTCTGCTGATCAGAGGAGGGCCCAGCCCTAGAAACCGCAGGCTGGTCACCAGTCCTGTGTTCTTTTTTTTTTTTTTTTTAAAGATTTTATTTATTCATTTGGGACACAGAGATACAGAGAGAGAGAGAGAAAGCATGAGCAGGGGAGAGAGGCAGAGGGAGAGGGAGAAGCAGGCTCCTCGCTGAGCCAGGAGCCCGATGTGGGGCTCGATCCCAGGAGCCTGGGATCATGACCTGAGCTGAAGGCAGACGCTTAACCATCTGAGCCACCCAGGTGCCCCACCAGTCCTGTGTTCTTGAGCTGCAGAAATCCGGCTTAGGCAGCCTTTGGCCAACAAGTGGCAGCCACCTGTACTATGGTGTGGGAGCCTCAGGAAGAAGGCTGGGGCTAAGGAGGCTCCTCAAGCTCTGGGAGCTTTGGCGTCCACTAAAGGGATCCCAGGAGCCCAGAGAGCTTCTCCTGGTTTTAACAGATATTACTGGACCCACTTTTCACTCAGATGGGATGATATGCATCCCTGCATCATCCCCGTATGTCCCCAACTCGCGCGTAGGAATGTGTGCCTCCCCCACTTGCTGACATTTCTCAACACATTGCCCTCCTCCTACTGGTCTCACCAGTGATATTGAAGTCCTGTTTGCACTGGCAGCTCCATGTGCCATCATCCGACTTGCAGTCCTCGTCTATACTGCACTCCTCACATGTCCCCAACACGGAGCTGGGGTCTGCAGGATCACAGACACTGTCAGTCAACAGGGATGCTCCCCGGTCTCCCGTGGGGCCCACCCAGGTCTGGAGTGGGGCGTAGGGGGAGATGCCCACTCACCTGTGCAGTAGGCCAGATAGCACTCGGTGGGCGCGCCCAGGTTGTAGACATAGTAGCCACCAGCACAGGCCTTCCCTTGGACGGGCGCGTCCCACAGGCAGCAGTGGCCACTCCAGTGCGCGCAGGCTGTGCGGCTCACTATGCCCTCGTCACTGGACGGGTGCGTGCCGTTGAGCCACATGGGCGCGGCCGTGTTACAGTGCAGGACCGGCACGCAGGTCTCCGCCAGGCGCACACCGCCCGACCCCACGAAGCGGTACCAGCCACTCAGGCCCATGTCGCAGGTGTAACCCGCCCCGTGCTCGGCACTGCGCCAGTACTCATCTAGGATGCGGTACTCTTGGCATGGGTCTGCGCATACCAGCGCGTCGCCCCCGGGCACGCAGTCCAGTCCCGGCCCACAGGAGCCCGGGGAGCACTCGCAGTGTTTCCTGTCCCCCAGATAGCCCTCAGGACAGACACACGAGTAATTGCCCTTGCTATTGACACAGGTGGCCAGGGCGTGGCAGTGGCTGAGCCCGGGCTCTGCGCACTCATCCACGTCGGTGCAGCCCAGCCCGGGCATCAGTCGGAAGCCGTCAGGGCAGGTGCACAAGTAGGAGCCCAGCATGTTCACGCAGCTGCTGTCCTCGGAGCAGTTGTGGGCCCCAGGGATGACACATTCATCCAGGTCCACGCACACAAGGCCGTTACCAGTGAAACCCACCTGGCAGGAGCATGTTGTGACAGTCCCGTCCTCCATGCAGGTGGCATTGCTGTGACATTCAGAGCAGTTTCCTGTGGACAGAAGAATCCGGCCTCAGATGGGGGCAGCTGGGCCAGTGGTCACTCAGAGAGTCCTCCTGCATCCATTAGGGTACCATGTTCTTTTAAGACTTGGTCCCTGGATGACTCCCTCCAAAACAACTAAACAAAACTCCCCCGATGCTTCCACTGTGCATTCTTCTCTGTTAAGCATTGCTTTCAAAGTATGTCTTCTTTTAAAATATCCACGCTTCCACATCCAGAGGAATAATAAAGAGTTCTTGACACTTTGGTAGGATTTAGGTGACCCTGTCGCCCCTTCCCCACCTTTGAACATTTAATGCCTTTTGCTCAGATCTTCCCTGCCTCCCCTCTGAAGACTTCCCCAACTCTCCCTGACAGTCGCACTTTGTGTGACATCCTCCATGACAATAAACACAGTAAAGATAACGAGCTGTCGTTTATTAAGCACTTACAATATGCCAGACACTGGGATGTATGCTTTTCACTCATTATCTCATTGAATCCTCCCCAATGGCCCTGTGGGATCGCTTTTGTATTTACCCTTATTTTAAAGATAAGCAAACTGAGGTTCAGAGGGTTTAAGCCACTTGCTCTGTTGGTAAGCAGCAGAGCCAGGACAGAAACCTGGGTGGCAGGACCACAGAGTATATGCTCTTAACCTCTTTACCATGACACTGAAATGGCATTTACTGTGCCCCAAAGTACTCCAGCTCAGGGGAGACGCCCAGCTCCCTTCCCCAGGGAGAAGCTGAAAGCTAGATGAGGATAATGCAAGACCCAATGGAATGACCTCTTAAGAATGCAGGGGAACAAAGATACAAAAGTAGGGATCCGAAGGGGTACGTGCACCCCGATGTTTATAGCAGTAATGTCCACAATAGCCAAACTGTGGAAAGAGCCAAGATGTCCATCGACAGGTGAATGGATAAAGAAGATGTGGTATATATATACAATGGAATATTATGCAGCCATCCAAAGGAATGAGATCTTGCCATTTGCAACGACGTGGATAGAACTGGAGGGTATTATGTTGAGTGAAATAAGTCAAACAGAGAAAGACATGTATCATATGATCTCACTGATATGAGGAATTCTTAATTGCAGGAAACAAACTGAGGGTTGCTGGAGTGGGGGGTGGGGTGGGAGGGATGGGGTGACTGGGTGATAGACACTGGGGAGGGTATGTGCTCTGGTAAGCGCTGTGAATTGTGCAAGACTGTTGAATCTCAGATCTGTACCTCTGAAACAAATAATGCAATATATGTTAAGAAAAAAAGAAGAAGAAGAAGGTAGCGGGAGGGGAAGAATGAAGCGGGGGAAATCGGAGGGGTAGACGAACCATGAGAGACGATGGACTCTGAAAAACAAACTGACGGTTCTAGAGGGGAGGGGGGTGGGAGGATGGGTTAGCCTGGTGGTGGGTATTGAGGAGGGCACATTCTGCATGGAGCACTGGGTGTTATGCACAAACAATGAATCATGGAACACTTCATCTAAAACTAATGATGTAATGTATGGGGATTAACATAAGAATAAAAAAATTAAAAAAAAAAAAAGAATGCAGGGGAAGGTGTTTGGGAGCCACTTTGGTGTGTTCAGATCTTGACCTTCCAGTAAATTGCCAGGGGACCTAGTGGTAGTCTCTTGCCTCCAATGTGTGATCCAAGGACCACAGCATCAGTATTACCTGAGAGTTTGTCAGAAATGCAGAATTTCAGGCCCTATGCAGGGCCTACTGAATCAGAATCTGCATTTTAGCAAAACTCCCATGTGAGTCCTGTATACATTAAGGTATAAAAAATGGATTTAGAGGAGCGCCTGGGTGGCTCAGTTGTTAAGCATCTGCCTTTGGCTGAGGTCGTGATCCCAGGGTCCTGGGATTGAACCCCGCATCGGGCTCCCTACTCGGCGGGAAGCCTGCTTCTCCCTCTCCCACTCTCCCTGCTTGTGTTCCCTCTCTTGCTGTGTCTCTCTCTCTGTCAAATAAATAAATGAAATCTTAAAAAAAAAATAAATTCTAAGCATGATAGGAGAGGAAGCCAGACCTCCTCTGTTAACAGCAGCATTGTTCCCTGCACACACACACACGCACACACACAAACACCCCCCTCCCCCCACTTACTTGCTTCCAGGGTGTCAGTGGATGCAGCTGTGATGACCCAAGAGGTTACCATGACTACCATCCACACCGAGATCAGAGAGGAAAGCTGCCCCATTCTTTCTGCTCTTCACAGCTTCTTCTGGTCTGGGGAGAACCTGCCCAAAGGCAAAGACAGGTTGACCCCTTGGGATTTCCTCCCTGTCTGTGATGCCTGGAGTCCTGTGGAACAGAGATGGATGGGATAGATGCATGATCTAACTCACTTCCCCACAGTTGGGAGGAGTGCTTTGGTCCTGCACTGCACAACTCCAGAAGGTGCCATTTATATGAACTACAGGAAGTGTACAGTGTTGTGGCCCTTGCTTTGTTGTTTTTCCTTCTGTTACCCCACCCATCCTCCCACCCCCATATTAGCCTCTGCTCCCCGAGTCTCAGCGAATCTGGAAGAACTGAGTCTCATTTGGAACAGGAAGCAGCAAGGTGGGGTAGTGTGTTCTGGACTCCTCATCTTACCGGAGGCAGCTTTAGGTTTTCACAGCCACTCCTGATCCCCTGCTGGGATACTTTCAACTTGCCCAGATCCATTTATCCATTCAACAAACATTTACTGAGTAGCTACCATGTGCCAAACAGGGAGCTACACACCGAGGAAGGCCATGAATAGGACAGGCAAGATCCCTGACTTCATGCAACCCATATTGTAAAGAAGTTGCTTTAGATAAGCAACTCCAGAGATGATTAACCTTCACAATGGATTTTGGTGTTTCCAGAGCAGTCACTTATTATTTCACTCAATTGGTGAAATAATCCTAGGTGGGTATTACTATTGCCTCAATTTTTACAGCAGCAAACTAGGGTAGTAAGTGGTGGTTAAATGTGTGGGACCTGGAGCCTGCCACCAGGATCCAAATCCCTGTTTTATTAATCACTGACAGTGTAACACTGGGCAAGGTATTTCAACTCGCTAATAATTAGTTTCCTCATCTATGAAATATGGATCATTGCTTTCACAAACTGAGTGCCTATGATGTGCCAGGCTCAGTTTGAAGTCCCTGTGATCAGAGAACTTGTGTTCTGGAGCTGTGTTTTCCAAGCCTTTATGATCACGATCTGCTATAAGGAAAATACTTTTTGCCATAACCTGGTGTAGTTGCTTGTGTATGTGCATGGGTACACACACACACACAAAATAATAAGTTTTACAAAAATCTTAGTATTGTATGCATTGCTTGCTGACATAGTCTCTAACATTTAATTAAAAGAAAATTTTGGGTATAACCCACAAACAATTTCATGATCTGCTAATGGGTCGTGAAAACACTGTGGCAGATGATAACTGACTGCATATTGTCATGGGGATTAACTAAGATGATATAAGCAAAGCAGGGCCTGGCACATAGCAAATGCTATTGTTCACTGCTATATCTCCAGTGCCTAGTACATAGTAGGCACTTTGCTAATATTTGTTGAATGAGTGAAGAAATAGTAGTCATTGTTATTAGTAAAGTGCAGCCTTGAAGGGAGGGAGATTGACCAACTGAAGATAATGAAGCCAATAGTCAGCAGAGGAATGACCCAATCTAGGTCTGACCCAGGTGTCCAATCTCTTCATTTCCTTCCCCCCTCTCCCAAACAGAATGGGAATTAGCAGAGAACTAGGTGGGGGAGAAGAGAGAGCCATAGATAGCCTTACCTGAAGCCAGAGAGGTAGAATTAGTCTGTTTCCAAGTGTGTGCCTCCTATATATACATCTGCCCCTGGCTGGCAGTCTTTCCTCCAATTATTCTCTGGTTCTGTTTCTTGAGATCGTATTCTTTTTTTTTTTTTTTTAAAGATTTATTTATTTATTTATTTGAGACAGAGAGAATGAGAGAGAGAGAGCACATGAGAGGGGGGAGGGTCAGAGGGAGAAACAGACTCCCTGCCGAGCAGGGATCCCGATGCGGGACTCGATCCCGGGACTCCAGGATCATGACCTGAGCCGAAGGCAGTCGCTTAACCAACTGAGCCACCCAGGCGCCCGAGATCGTATTCTTGAGGGTAGGATATTTTCCCCTGTGGGCACAGTGTTTTCCTTTCCTAGGCTGTCAGATTGTTGTTCTTTTTCCTAATATGTGGACGCCCCAAATGACTGACATTGGGGGTCAAACTTGTGCCCGCAAATATAAGGCCTCTGTTTTGCACCTTTTGATATAAAGAGATTCCTTAGAAATTAACCGGAAAAGCAGTGCCAAGGTACTAGGCGTTTTATTGGTCATTGAGAAGGACAAGGTGGACCTAAGGAGCCCGGCAGAGGCCTGTATCTGAAGCCAGGCTGCGCTGGGGCAAAAGGGGGTTTTTATTGCCCCCATTAGGACATGCACCTGTGGCCATTTGGGTTTCTTGCCCTGGGGAGGGCACCCTGCTGAAGTACACTCCATCCTCATGGCTCAGCAAGCTCCTCTGTGGTCCGGACATGAGCAGGAGAGGAGGTGACAATGGTTGAAAGTCAAAGCCTGAAGATAACTGAGACATCACCAGACCAGACCCACTCTGCGAAACAAAGAATCTGAGTTCCCATGAGGATAGGCCCCCTTGGGAGGTGGGTAACTTTGTGACTGAGTAGACTGACTTTTGAGTCCGTCCGCCTGTCTCCTGATCAGCCATTTATTGTGTGCCAGAGGACTCATTTCTTTAATAATCTTCCTGAGGTCATTTTCGTTGTCTGTGAAAGGAAAGCACCCATCTCTTAGAGTTGTTATGGTGGTTAAAGGAGAAGATGCAAGAACAGAGGTGATGTAACAATTCTACCCGTGGAAGTCACTGTCAGTGCTGCTTTGCTGATGTACAGTCACAGGGGTCGAAATGGCAGAGACTGGGCTCAACCCCATGGCTCCTGACGCAGTCCCATGTAGATGGCAATCCAGTCTAAGAGTCAGTCCCATAGAGAAAAATTGAATATGTGTAAACTTGGGCTGAGCAGGAAATAGAACAATGACCCATTGCATTTACTTTTTCAGGATCTTTCTTATCCTGTCTCATTTAGTGGTCGGGTAACCATCAGCACTATGCAATCATCTCCTCAGGATAATTTTGTAGGAGTGAAATTTCTGGGTCAAAGAGGTGGTGCAGTTTTAAGAATTTTGATACCTCTTCCCAAACAGCACCCCCAGAGAGAGATTTTTTTTTTAAATAAACTACTTTAGGGGCGCCTGGGTGTCTCAGTCAATTAAGCATCTGCCTTCGGCTCAGGCCATGATCTTGGGGTCCTGAGATGGAGCTCTGTGTTGGGCTCCCTGCTCAGCGGGGAGCCTGCTTCTCCCTCTCCTTATGCCCCTCCCCCCACTCGTGCTCTCTCTCTCTCTCAAATAAATAAATAAAATCTTAAAAAAAATAAACTAGTTTACAATCCCATAGTACCAATCCTGAGCGTTGTACACTTTCCTTCATCTTTGTCAAAAAAAGAAGTGAGAAATCTCATTGCTTACTTTTGTAATTCTTCAGTGAAAAGGGAAATCATTATCTTTTCATGTGTGTTACTTATTCTTCTTTTCTGAATTGGCTGTGTCTTTCTTTCTTTTTTCCCCCTACTGCTTAAGAAGAAAATAAAAGTTCTTAATATTCTTTTTCTCCATTTTTGGATGGTGAATATAATTTCTGGTTGGTGCATATGAGGCCCTGTCTAAACCTGAGTTCGGGTGTCCTTAAAGGATTAAAATGGAGGCTCCGGGTGGCTCCTGGAGTTGTCTGGGCAAAGGCCATAGGCAGGAATATGGGGCATTTGTGTTATAGATTACTCATAAGTCTAATAACCACATTTTTCCAGTTTCTGTATTTGATGCTTGTACATCTTGGGGCTTTGCTGACCCTGGAGGGATTGCCCCTCCCAGGCTAACTAATTCCTAGAGATTGCCAACAGCTGGCTAGAGATCTGCCTTCTATATGCAAACTGACCACCCAGAGGGCCCCCCCCCCCCCCCACCACCAGCCCTCCTTTGCTGGGGGCTCTCACACTCAGGGCCACTATTCCCCTGCCTTCATCACCCCAGGGCCAGGCACCAGACAACCGGGACCGGTCCCTCATCCCAAGACCTGCTGAAATTACTCAAACTATCCAGTCCTCAACCTGCTTCCCTGCCTCTCCTGTTCCTTCCCATGGGAACCACAAGAAAGGCTCTTGCTCATGTTTCCCCTATCCCTTGGCCTCCTGACTGACCCTGGTACTTCTTCGTGTGCCCCCTCCTCTTGTGATTTGGGAATCTAATCAACTATGTTTTCAATGGCATTCATCTTCTCATCTGTTAGCCTTGTCATATAATAATAACAAAACTTACATTTTAAAACAGTAAGCATCACCTGCCCTCAACACAGCTGGAGCATCCTGTGGTGTTCCTCTAGTTTGTTGTTTTTCCACTCTTTCTTCAAAATTCCTACCGTCGCCCAGCCCCATACATTTAATGACATCATGGCATTCTCACTGGAGTCACTAAGCATTGCCTCCCTCAACTTCTCCGTCTTCCTGCCTCTGGATTCACCTTCCACTTCTCCTCTCCCATAATGGAAGCAGCATCCTTCTTCCTGGGCTGATAACCTTTTTTCCTCACCTTCACCTACCCCTTCCTCCTGTAACTTCCTCTTCTCATAAGCACTTGGAGTATTCTCATCTGCTAGTCCCTTTCTTTCTTTCTTTCTTTCTTCTTTCTTTCTTTCTTTCTTTCTTTCTTTCTTTCTTTCTTTCTTTCTCTCTCTCTCTCTCTCTCTCTCTCTCTCTCTTTCTTTCTTTCTTTCTTTCTTTCCTTTTTTAATTATTTTTTTCTGCTAGTCCCTTCTGTGGAAAGCTTCCTTTGACCCCACACTCCCTCCAGCCACCATCCTGTTTTCCATCCTTTCATAGCCGAACTTCACAAAAGATTTATCTGCACACTTTCCACTCACATTCATTCTGGTAAGCTTCCTGAACTGCCAGCTCCGTTGACCTTGCTCATCAGGATCACCAAAGACATCCACGTTGCCAAATTCAATCGCTGTTTTTTTTTTCTTTAGCTTACTTCCAGAAAAGTAGCCAAAAAATATTTGTTTCTGAACAAACCTTAC